CGGCTCACTGGCAACCTCCACCTCCCAGGTTCAAGCGATTCTCCTGCCTCAGCCTCTTGAGTAGCTGGAATTCAGGCATGTGCCACCAAGCCCAGCTGATTTTTGTATTTTTAGTAGAGATGGTGTTTCACCATGTTAGTCAGGATGGTCTACATCTCTCGACTTCGTGATCCTCCTGCCTTGGCCTCCCAAAGTGCTGGGATTACAGGTGTGAACTACCACGCCTGGCCCCAAAGTTCTATTTGTAAAATATGGTAAAATCACATCCCTTCTTTGCATAAGTTATAAAATCTAAGTGCTTTTCAATATTCTGAGAATAAAATTCACCCTAGCTTACAGAACCATCTGTGTCCCAGCACTTGGGTACCCTTCTGAGTCTATCTGATGTCACTCTCACTCCAAAACCAGTTTGGAATTCCCCCAATGCATTATTTCTTTTCCTCATCTGGTCAAGCAGGGACCCATCAGAGGGCCACTGCATGGGCCATTCAAATGGCATTTCAATGCTCTTTGCTTTGATCTCGCTGTAGCTGCCTACTCATCATTCAGATCTTTAATTATTACCCCTTCCAAAAAGCCTTTCCTGGCCACCCAGTCAAGAACAACTACTGGGTCTTTCAAATCCAGCAGACAACCCATTACTATCTGACTTCTTTTGCTCAATTATTAATTGATTAATTTTCTGGCCTACTAAGCTAAACTCCAAGCTCCATGAGAGTTATAGCTTTGATTAATACTTAATTATTGCTCTAAGTATCTTAGTGTTTAGATCACTTACAAGTCTAAGGATATGTGTTAGGCATTCAATACATTGTTAAGTAAATAAATGAGTGAATGAATACTTTAAGTGCAAAAATACATTTTCATTTAAAAACTAATCAAAGTGGCTGGCCCTGGTGGCTCATGCCTGTAATCTTAGCACTTTGGGAGGCTGAGGTGGGCGGATCATGAGGTCAGGAGATCAAGACCATTCTGGCTAACAAGGTGAAACCCTGTCTTTACTAAAAATACAAAAAATTAGCCAGGCGCGGTGGCATACACCTGTATTCCCAGCTACTCAGGAGGCTGAGGCAGGAGAATCACTTGAACCTGGGAAGCAGAGGTTGCAGTGAGCCAAGATCGCACCACCGCACTCCAGTCTGGGTGACAGAGCAAGACTCTGACTCAAAGAAAAAGCTAAAAAAGCTAATCAAAGCATGCTCTCTTTACAAGAGCAAGTTTACTTAAAAATGATACCAAGAAGCAAACATCTGTTGTTACCAATTTTGTTATATTATCCCTTATATTGCCCTGTTTATTTCTCTTACTGTAACACTCATCACTCTTAACTCTATTTTCTATGTATCTATTTGCTTAAACTCTGACTCCCCATACTAAAATGAAAGCTCTCCTAAGGAAGTGATTTTGTCTGTCTTTTTTCACTACTGAATGCGCAATCTTGGTGAGTGACTTGATCAGCGACACTCAGACATTTGTGTTGAATGAGTGAAGCTATAGGTACAGTTGAAAGTGATTGATTATTTATTCTTAGTTTGCAATGAGGAAACAAAAGCACTCTTAGTTCAAAGAAATGGACCAAGTAATTTAAGTAGGCACTTGCAATTATAGATCTCTACACGTTACTATAACTCAAATTCTCTAACAGCTTGGGAAAGTCATTGCAAATATTTTGCCTTAGTTTCTGCTCCTTGAAAAACGGGAATTAAATGAAATAAACCAATTAAAATTATCTTTTTAGAGCAAGCCCAACTTGAGAGTTTAGCAATTACCACCAACCGATCATCATTCAGGGATAAGTTAAGCACAAAGAAGAAAGTAAGAACAATGGGAGAAAAAGAATCAGAGGGTCAATTTTTGTGCTGCTTAGGATAAGACTTCTCTTGTTGAATTTGTTCATAAAAGCCCTAAAGTCTGGGGAAATGCTTCTGGGCAGCAAAGCAAAGAGTTTTGAAGCTTACAGGTCTAAGGAAAAATTAATAAAATGCAGTGGGGAAATTAAGTTGAACAAAAATGCAATGAGGCATAGTTAAACTGATTAATTAAATAGGTTTTGATATGTATATAACTGGGTTGCTGAAGAATTAAAAATCAAGCCAAGATTTAAAATAAATGTTTGGTATTCAATAAAACATCAAATGGTAACATTCAGAAAACTCATAGTTTTTTTTTTAGCAGTGTTCTTAGTTGAATTTCTTTCTCATTCATATGCCTCACCAACTCTCTTTTCCCCAGCAATCTTAAAGAAACTATGCTTTCAAAAATATGCAAAAGTCTTAGAATTTATTCAATTTTCCTCTCATTCTTCTAATGCCAGTTTCAAAACCATGATACTTTCTTTTGGCATCAACTAGGAAAGATTTATTTTTCAGTAATATGTCTACAATTTTTCAGAAAGCAATGAAAATTATCTTGCTTAATGCACCTGCAGCCTGGCAAGTGTCACACAGAACAGGTGTCAAAAAAAAAAAACAAGACCAGCCGGGCGCGGTGGCTCAACCCTGTAATCCCAGCACTTTGGGAGGCCGAGGCGGGTGGATCACGAGGTCAAGAGATCGAGACCATCCTGGTCAACATGGTGAAACCCCATCTCTACTAAAAATACAAAAAATTAGCTGGGCATGGTGGAGCGTGCCTGTAGTCCCAGCTACTCAGGAGGCCGAGGCAGGAGAATTGCCTGAACCCAGGAGGCGGAGGTTGCGGTGAGCCGAGATCGCGCCATTGCACTCCAGCCTGGGCAACAGGAGCGAAACTCCGTCTCAGAAAAAACAAAACAAAACAAAACAAAACAAAAACAAAAAAACAAACAAACAAAAAAAAACAAGACCAAAAGCTGGGCGTCACAGAGATGGAGGTTTGATTCCACACTTACCGCTTAAGAGCTATTAGACCCTGCACAAGTAGCTTAGCTCCTAAAAGTGTCAGTTTCCCTCACTGTAAAAATGTTAAGTGTGGTATTTGAAAATTCCTTGGCTTAATATCTGGCAGAGACACCTCTCAATAAATTGAAAGTATTAACAGTAGAAGGAGATTCCAACTTGCAGATATGTTTTGATTGTCAAAATTGCTTGTTTGAAACTTTATACATACATTTCATCAAAAATTTATATTAAAAAGTGAAATGGTCAGTGGTAAGCAAATTTCTGGATGCATCTTCAAAGCCTTCATTTATCTTAACACAATTTAAGTCAAAAGTTATCCTAATTGTCTTCTGGTTAGGGTGGCTGAATGGTCATTGCTTTTGTTTTTGTTTTTGTTTTTGTTTTTGTTTTTTCTGGACTTTCCTAGTTTTAGCACTGCGAGTCCCTCATCTTGGGAAACCCTTTGTGCCAGACAAATTTAAGTATGATTCCTTGATTTGGAACCTAATTAATATTCATTTGTTCACCTTTTTTTTTTTTTTTTTCCTGCAGTCCCAGGTATGTTCTTAGGCTCTGGAGATATAAGGACAAATTGGATATGGTCTCTGCCTTTAATAAACTTAGAGCCTCCTAGTAAAGAAGACAGACAAATGAACAAGCATCAGGAAGGCCTACTGGAAATGTGAATGATGGCAGTTTGCCCAGGATGCAGAGAAACACAGCCCATAGGCACCTCACATAGACTTGGACACGGTGATCACTGAAATGGATCTTACTGAAATGCATCTGAAAGTAGGTATGCAGCTCAAACCAGTGCCTCCTATTTAGTTCCTTTGGACACTTCCATTTCTGAGCTCAGAATTCCTTAAATATACATATTAAAATGACATCTCTTAAGATTCCTGTAAGTCATTATCTAAACAGATTTTGAATAACTTCTGATATGTACATAATCTTTATGAAAAACTTAGTAAAATATCAGTATAAATAACCATAAACCCTTGCTTTTATAGCCGTTTCTCCTACTTTGGATATATAACTTAAAAATCTCCTTTTAAAAATGCAAACTGCCTGCTTGCTTTTTTATTATTTGGAATTCACTTCACAAAGGAAATTACTGGATTGCCCCATTAAATTGAAAACAATACAGATGTTATCATAAATATTGTTCTAGCTATAATACTGCAGTAGTTGCTCCAAGATTAGTAAATTAAAAATGTTTCCCAAAGCTTGTGATAGAAATACTGACATTTTCAAATTCTTCAATAAGTTTTAAAGTATTCCTAGAGCATGTCTTTATCATTATAGCAAATCCTACAGCAAGAAGATAGTAAGACAGACTCTTATACAACCAAAAACTCAGGTGTAACATACACAAACTAACAGCATGATTATTTGGTTTTCGTCCTGGGGGAGGAAACATTTATCATAGACTGAAGGTGAGAAGAGGACTTATTCTCAGGCAGACTGTAAACTTCACGGGGGGCAGGGACCACGTCAGTATTATTTACTGCTGTGTTCCCAGTACCCAGACCACAACTGATACACAAAATGGTCGAGAAAGCAACAAAACAAATTCACAAGGCTTCATCCTGTATTTCCCACAAATGATTATTCAGTCTCTGAAAAACTCTAGGAACTGAAAAGTCATCTTTGCCACTTCTAGTTAAACCTCTTTGACCCCAGTAAATTATGCAGCTTACATTTCAGGGTCAGCTAGTTACAACATGAGGTCAAAACCATGTGTTCTATTTTTGTATCAGATTATATCTCCAATCTTGACTAACAACCTTTGAGATGTTGCGTAGGAATTTATTAAGAATGTTCATGTGATTATTATAAACCACCCTTGCTATGAAAAGATATCTCACGCCATGCTTTCTGTAGAATATGAATCCAAATCTTTGGTTTAAAGACTCACCAACTGCTCTATAATCATCATGTGTTTTAAGTCACACAGAAAATTATAAATATAGGCCAGATATTGACCTTATTAACTATAAAGGCTCTTGGTAATTTTCATACACAAAATACCGCTAATGTATACATATGCCATGCAGTTGATATCCACTTCAAATTCAGTGGGAGAGGAGAAGCAGGAAGTCTTTTTAAGTTTTATTATTATTATTATTTTATTTTTACCTTTGAAGTTTACTACACCAACTGCAGTTGAAGCCAATCTGAGAAGACACACAGGGGCCACATCTGTTAAACTGGAGGCATGCTAGGAAATAGGAAAGTACAAATTCATCAAGACCAACAGGCAACTTGGGGGAAAGAGATTGCTCAGCCGAAATAAACATCACTGTCCCCCAATACTAAGGATCAAAATGCCCATGCATGTCAAACACAATTGTAATGGTAATTATTTCATATGATTATTATAACTATTAAACAGATCAGATCATCAAATTTGCAAATCATGTTTTCCACCTAGGTTTACATATTCACGTACTAGGTAATGGGGTCATCTCCACAGCCGAAATGTTGGTAATTTTTGACATTTGTAGCTCTACTCGGTGGTATTCATAAATTGTTCTTCTTCGAACATCTAGAAAAACAAAAATGGAAAAAAATTAACTTTTAACATTTCCCCATGTACAAAACAACAGGATTTTAATAATGGATATAGAATTATACATGTGTGGGCTGATGTGGTTTTAAAATTAAGCCTCACCCTGTGAGAAGACTGATTAATACGTAAAAATCACATGCCAAGTAACCAGAAGTGTTTCTATCAACGAAGTTGAAAGTGTTGATCAGGTCTCAGATATCCCACTTACCTCTTAAGGTGTCAGCTCATTGTCACTCAGACTATACTACAGATTTCTTGAATAGATTTACATATTTTCAAAGATTTTCACTCATGAAATCAAGAAGGTAGGATGATACCATTTCTTCCATACTAAAGCTGAAGTGTTTAGAAATGGGTAATTAGAAATGTTTCACAATCTAAATAAAGTTAATGGAGAATAACAATGTGATTGCTTTAAAAGTTTACAGTAAACTTCTTCAGCATGTGTATACCTATGTAACAAGCCTGCATGCTCTGCACACATACCCCAGAACTTAAAGTGTAATAAAAAAAAAAAGTAAAACAGAAGTAAAATCATTCTTATATTTCCTGGTGATCATAGTTAATAATATTGCATTGTGCTTGAAATTAAATAATAGATTTTTTTGCTGTTCTCACCACACACAGATACACACACACACACACACACACACGTGATATAAATGTGTTAATTAACTTGATTGTGCAGAACATTTCAGCATGTATAAATATAACAAATCACCCCCCTGTATATCTTAAATATATATGATTTTTATTTGTCAATTATATCTCCATAAAGGTGGAAGAAAAAAGGAACTGAAATGACTTTAAAAATAAAGATTGCAACGTATTAAATATACAGTATCATATCTAAGCAAGGTTAATTAGCATTTATATTGTACAATGAAGTTTATAAATCATTGGCAAATCCATCAATGTCCCTGAGGAAGAAGATAGATGGAGACTTTGACAAGAACTCTAATCATTTAAAATTAGATAAATATAAGCAAACATATTTTAACATCTAACCAGAACAAAATATGTACATATACTTAAAATCTCCTTTTAAGCCTTATGCTAATGTGCTCACCTGGGTTTGGTCAGTGTTAGCGGAAAAATAAAGTTTTCAGAATTTTATTCCACTCTTGAAATGCCTATAGTGATAAGAATGCATTTTTGGAATAATGTCAAATCTATAAGTAATTATTGAGGCTGCAAACTATTCTTATTTTTATTTTTGAGGCAGGGTTTCCCTGTGTTGTGCAAGCAGTGGTGCAATCACAGCTCAATGCATCCTGGATCTCCTGGGCTCAAGTGATCTTCCCACCTTAGTCTCCCAAGTAGCTGGGACTACAGGCATGTGCCACCATATCCACCTAATTTTTTTCTATTTTTTGTAAAAACAGGGTCTGGCTATGTTGCTCAGGCTGGTCTTCAACTCCTAAGCTCAAGTGATCCTCCAGCTTTGGCCTCCCAAAGTGCTGGGATTACAGGCATGTACTCTCTTGCCCTGTTAATTTGTTAAAACTTTTTTGGTAGAAACCGGGTCTTCCTATGTTGCCCAGGCTGATCTTGAATTCCTGGGCTCAAGAAATCCTATCACTTTGGTCTCCCAAAGTGCTGGGATTACAGGTGTGAGCCACTGTGCCTGTCCATAAGTTATTTTGAAAGTATCGCAGATCCAATTTGGGGAACTAATGTCATAGTGGTTAATAATATGTGCTCTGGAACATTCTGTCTTGGTTCAAACCTCAGTTTTGCTATGAGAAATCTGTGCGACCTTGGGTTCCTTTGCCAGCTATTCTGTGCTTAAGTTTCCTCGTTTATAAAATAGGGATAATAGTGCTTATATTACTGCGTTGCTTTGAGGATTAAAATGACATAAGAATATTGCTAGACAGTCCTTTTCACATTGAAAATGTTCAATACATATTAGATACAATTTTTGTCTAACTTTAATATGGCAAGTTATATGCTGCATTTAATAATCTAATCCCTACAGACCTAAAGGTACTGAAATCACACTAAAATCCTGGAATGAAGCTTCTAGCAATTTTTCTCCATTCTTCACTTAAAGAAAGTTAAATTTATATTGAAATAATTAGACCCAATGATGACCTCCTGTAAAATTAGAGCAGGGAGTGTGGTGGCCCAGATGATAGTGAGTTGCCTTTTAGTAAAAGTATTCAGAAAAGGAAGATATTTACTCCTCTGAGAATCAGCAGAGGCTGTCAAACATTTACTTACAACCTACAAGTATCTCTCCTTTTTTCTACTCAAATCTCTTTATCCACTTCTAATTATTCATGATGAAATTCTGTTGCAGAATGGCTGGGGAAAGGGTTGAGGCAAACCCTTTGGGGACTAGGAGTAGCTCTGGGTCACTGGCTTAAAATATCTTAGGGGTATCAGATTGGAACTGTGTAAGAACTCTGTTGAAGTTAAGACTATTTAAGAACTCTAACCCAATGATTTTTTGTTTTTTTGGTACAACTGAAAGATGCACATACATTCTTCAAAAAGTAAACTTCATAAAAAATCAGAGAAAATGCCCGTTTCATGGTACATAGTAACGTTTCATGAAGCAAGTAAATCACATTTTTTCTTTTCCTTTTAGCTTTTAAAGCAAATAAAAAGATGGCTCCTCTTCTGTCTGTGTCTAAATAGGATTCATTCCTTTCCCATGTACTTTGGTAAACAATTAAGTTCTTATAAACAAATAAATAATATGGCCTTTCCATAAGATCACTAGGATGGGGGTTCTTGAGTCTTCATGCTAAAGTCTGCACAGTGTCTGTTATATTAGTTGGTGTTTAAAATACTAGTATTCCTTTTACTTCATATTATACTTTGAAAATCTCAACCACTGACAACAATTGAGAAGCTTCTGAGAGTTATTGATTGTGCATATGGAGTAAGGAGAAAGAGTGACCTTTATTGCTATGCTAGTTCTATTACCTGCTTAGAGACCTCTAAGTACTGGGAGGAGATGAATTTAACAAAACCCAAATTAATGAGAATGATTTTTGTTTGATGACCCGCCAATTAATAACGGCTTCCAAATGGTCATTTATGTAGTATTTCAAAGATACCTCTGTCAGAAACAAGTAATTAGAATTCTGGTTGCCCCTGCCAATGCCAGAAGCTTTCATTTGATTCCAGAAATATTTCGCTCATATGTCTTCTTCAAGAATAAGCCAAAAGTCTTCGTGCTGGTAATTCAACTTTAATAGATCAATATTCATCCATTAGTAGCTTTTAAAAAGTAAGAAAAATTAAATCTGAGCAGATTGACAGAGAGAAAGAAAATGTAGCTCAGTGATCAAAATCTGAAAGTGATATGTTGCAAACTGCAAATATTGCATGTTTTAGAAAGCCTGATTGGTATCAGCAGGAGGGACAATGTGATCATATGGAAACACCAAGAATATTCTTTGATCAATATCCACTCTAGCTGAAGTGAACACAAACTAATGAGTACCTTGAGGCATGATTAGCCATGATCTAGTTGATTTTCCCGTCTTGAAAGCTTAACATTCACACAGAGAATGTATGAGGAATCTTCTAACTTGGCTTACTCTTATATTGTATAAGTATTATAATACTGTGTCTGAATTGTCAAGTGAATGATTTGCTAAAATTTCCTTATTTACGTGTTGTCAGTGCTTAATGACTGGCTCCATAGGGTTGTATCTTATTTATTTTCTAGTTGAAATCAAGTCCAGCAGAAGCACCGTGTATTGAGTACTCTTTACTGGAAATAGTCTGTATCGTACAACCACAACATTCATTTCCAGCATGAAGACTCAGGTAAAAAAGAGATTCTTGAGATAAAATTGACACTATCATAGTAGTTACAAGCTTCCCACAAAAAAAGTGCAATGCATTAGCAGGATTAGCTAGTTGGAGTTGTTAAATAAATAGCTACGACTAAAAAATGCATTTGCTGAAATCATTTTTAAAAATTCTCTCTGTAGTTCTAATTCTCTGAAATAATAATTCATTATGCATTCAATAAAACACAAACCTTAGGTAAGCATCAAGCACTAATAGAAACCTTTTTCTGTCAACATTCCCTCACTCCTTACAAAAAGTTTCAGGACACTGGTAAAACTTAAATGGCCAGAGTTCCTAAATTACTTGAGTAAGCAGAGAGGAAATAAAAAATTGGACCTAAAACAACCTTCACATTTCTTTTTCTCCCACGTATACTTTACTAGTGGATTGAACCAGCTGCATTTCCTGCCTTCCTTTGATAATTACTTTGCCCTGGGCTTGAAATGTTCCCAAGCCATTAACTGATAAAACACTCAAGTGATGAATACTCCAAATACCCTGATCTGATCCTTACATAGTCTATGCATGTAACACATACTCACATGTCCCGCATATATAAAGTATTATGCACCAATAAAAGAAAAAAATCGAGGAAAAAAGAGAGAACCAGAACCAGGAGTGAGACAGTAAATGGTCCACACAGTGTTACTGTGGGCCAGTGTGGCAGGTAGAAATGCAGGCCTGTGACAACATCGATCGTGGTTCCACTTGCTGAGGGCTGCTTGTCTCGAACCTAGTGTTTTTGCAGGGGGACATGCCTCTCTGCTCCCGAGACTCATGGGAAGAAGCCATGATACATATTTGCCAAGTCATATTTGCCATGACATCTCTTTTCTTCTTTCTTTTGCACAAAGGAGATCGTGACTTCATTAAATTGAACTGGGTGTGTTTGGGCTCAGAAAACAATATCCCAAAATGAAAGCCTCAAAGGCAGCCTCTGAAGCAAATATTTTTCCTTTTCTTTTTAAAATTTGTATAAATTTAAGGGGTACCAGTGCAGTTTTATTCCATGGATATATTGTGTAGTAGTGAAGTCTGTGCTTTTAGTGCTTCTGTCACCCAAATAGTGTACATTGTACCCAATAAGTGCTTTCTCATCCCCCAACCCTCTACCTGTTCCCAGCCTTCCAAGTCTCCAATGTCTTCATTCCAGGCTGGTC